TCTTCATCCTCCTCCTCCTTCTCCTCCTCCTTCTACTCCCCTACTCCTCTTCCTCCTACTAATACTCTTCCTCCTCATCTCCTCCTCCTCCTCTTCCCCCTCCTCCTCCTCCTTCTCCTCCTCCTTCTACTCCCCTACTCCTCTTCCTCCTACTAATACTCTTCCTCCTCATCTCCTCCTCCTCCTCTTCCCCCTCCTCCTCCTCCTTCTCCTCCTCCTTCTACTCCCCTACTCCTCTTCCTCCTACTAATACTCTTCCTCCTTATCCTGCTCCTCCTCCTCCTCTTCCCCCTCCTCCTCCTCCTTCTCCTCCCCCTCCTTCTCATCCTCCTCCTCCGCCATCTCCTGCTCGTCTTCTTTTTTCGCCTCCCGCGCTTCACGGATCTATATGCCGAGATTCCCCTAATATTTAAACATGGTGGAGGAGCCGCTCTACCACTGACCACGAACGACCTCGCAGCGCCACCTATTGGTGGGACCGAAGAAATCTCCGTGCAATGCGATGACGCAGTGACGCGTGGCAGGACACGAATGATTGACGCATGTCGCGATTGGTGTTATAATGATGACAATGATGATAAACAATGTGACATTCCCCGTTCGAAACATTCTCCGTTTGAATTGTCGCTCGCGGCCACAGCTATATAGGGAGCGAGGTAACGTAGTTATAGCCTGCACCGTTATGTGGGTTTATGTTGACTGGTGCTACGTGTAAATCGGACCCATGTACTACCGTACTGCATGTGTAGTAGCGCACCTATATAGTACTCGATGGAGAAAGGCGTTACTTGAGTCGCTACCACTGATTCATGTTTGCCGTAGTTGAATATAAACTATTGATTAATAATAACAACCCGTAGTTGACATTATAGTCCTGGAGTTGACAATAACTCTTATAGTTGACATTAAACTGCTGGAGTTGACATAACTCTTGTAGTTGACAATAACTCTTGTAGTTGACATTAAACTACCGAGGTTGACCTGTTAAACTCGAGAAACTGTTGGAATTGTTCGGGAAACAAACTTCTGTATCTGACGTTGAATTTGTTGTAAGTGACGCAAAACTGCTGCAGTTAGCAACAAACTATTTAGCAGCTGAAATGTTACCCTCTCCCCTAACTCGCCCCATTCTCTATTCGTTTATTAACGGGCAATTGATATAAATCGTGTAGTTGATTTAGGGGCAATTTAACAGGCTAATTCTTCTGTCCTGGTACGCGCTCGGAGGTTGAGGTGTGACGTCTATTATCAATTGTTCTCGCTTACCCATGGTGACACGCGAAGGCCGGAAAATGTATCGAGAAAGTTTTAGAAGTAAAGAGAGTAAATCTTAGAACGAGAACGTTTAAGAGGCGAAGTTTCGAACGGTGAAGACATTTTTTGACGAGAACGCACTGGTGATGTTTACGATAGCATGACGATGAGAGGATGATGTTGTCGATAGGGAATGTAATATTAGAGGCAGTGGGAGGAATGACGCGGTTGGTGAACTATGTATGGCATGTGCAGTTATGTAACCGTCCATGTGCAGCCACGATGCCTTTTGTTGGAGCACGTTATATGTGTTTAACAAATAAATATGATTGTAGACAGACAAGCGAGAAATTGTGGTTGTGGTTTTTAGTTTTTAGTAAACGTGTGTTTAAGTGATTCTACTCTCTCTCTCTCTCTCTCTCTCTCTCTCTCTCTCTCTCTCTCTTTCCCTCTCTCCCCTCTCCCTCTCTCCCCTCTCTCCCCTCTCCCTTCTCGCCTCTCATCCAGCTCTGCCCTCTCTCCCCTCTCTGCCCTACTCCCCTCCTATTCTCCGTCTACGAGGTCGCCGACTAGCCGACGTCCGCTAGTCGCGCATGCATACATTAGGCATATGAAAAAGATAATTTGGCATGTAGTGCCACCCCATCGAAGTAGGCGAGTCCGGTAGTTGGCAATGCGGCACTACTCTGCTGCCGTGCCACACATCTGTTTTATCGATGAATATAAATTAACATTCTGATAATGATAGTATAAACGTGGTAATTACTCCGAATTTAATAAATACACTATCGTGTAATACATGCCTAGATTTTTGTAGCAATTATATAAAGCATTTCCTTAGCAAAGATCAGCTGTCCCATTTTGACTTTTCAACAATCATTTACCCAGAATAAATATGCCAATCATAAACTAGAAAAGAAATGCGATAAATAAGGCAATGTCTCCCGGTGATTCAGATCCTCCAGCTCCCGTTGACAGCGGCAAGAGATTGAAGTCCTTCTCCCAAGACTGAATTAACAGCTTAATAAAGTGACTTGCTCCTGTTTTCTACCCCTGCCAGGAATTAATGAATTTCCTTGACGCAGTGTAAATGTTTAACGCTGCAGTACCGGCTGCTATTATGGCGAGGCAACCACGGAACTAAAGCAGAGCCATTTTGTTTTAATAACAGAGCGGTCTCCCAAAATGTGAAATTTCTTTGATCTTCGTGTTTGAGGATATAGGAAAGATATTGTGAGAGGCGACAAGTACCACTTTGCGATCAATACAAGCACGAGGGATGGAGAGTGACGCAGGTATGCATCGCGGGACGCCCTAAGCAAGCGCATAACTTGTGGGTTCAAAAGAAGATGCGAACATGGAAGATAATGAGTTAGGAGATGTGGCACGCGGAAATATATAATAGGGGTAGCGCCTGTAGAAGCAGTTGCCACCGTTGTAGCAGTATATGATAAGGCAGGGCAGGGATATGGACCAAATGTTTGGCAAGTTAGCCGTATCCAGTTATTGATATTTGGTAAGGACAGACGGGCTTCGCATTGTACCCCTGTTTGCGATACCTCGTTGTTTCCATGGAACAACTTGCACCTGGGCCGTTCGAAATACGTAACGGTCGAGTGAAGGGGAGGAGTAAGAATAACGAATACCACAAGATAAAATAGAAATGCGGCGTGTACAGTGTTACGGCTGCCGAACGATAGGAAGAAGTGCAAGTATTCCTCCAAGGTGCTGCCTAGCGGTATATCTACCCACCCCTTTACACCACCCACGGACCAACAGACCAGCTCCAACCCACCTCGCCTCTGCGCGGCGGCGTCCTCGCCCCACCCACGGGCGCACAGTCGGCGGCAAAGTTGGCCATACTTATAATAGACGGACCGTATTTAGTAAGCGGATAGGCAAAAAAATAAATTCATCGGAGCTGGATATGAAAATATGATATGATATGATGACGAAGCGTGATACCAGCTGGACGATAAGCGCATGGCAGACGAACTGAAACCATACGCGAAGGTACATTGACGAAGAAGCAAGCATGATTATACAATATAATAGTAATGTTCCTCCACACTGACACTACGGCCACCTGGGGGCCGGTCTCTTTTGCGCAGGCTTCCGCTAAGTAGCAACCATTGCATCCTCAGTGAACAACAGGTTACTTGGAACGTAAAATATATGGTAAATAAACACAAAAATGTATTTAGCTACCCAAAGTTTTAATGTTTCTATAGCTCTATTTCGCCATTATTGCGCGATAACATGCTGTAAAATGAGATTCAAATGCTGCCTCCACACCACAGCAAGTAGCACCTGCTTGCACGTGCGCCGTGCCCGAAAGTTAACAACAAGAATAACGTAAAAACAAAATAATAACTGCTGCTCCGAGAAGAATAAACCAATTTTGTAAAAATTAGGGCATTTAAAATGGAGGAGGTATTCTAACATCAGATTCTATATGATAACACTTCCATCGTTAGAGACTCAGATATGAAATGGCAAAGAAGACCTTGCATGTAACGTGCTCGGCTGCATATAGGCGCCAGACCTCTATTCTTGTTGTTTGTGGCAGCAAGCGGCGTGCGTGGCGTGTTACCTGTGTGTAGCAGAGGAGCATTTGAGCGGCACTTACAGGAAATTATGCGGCAATTAATTAGGTGAAAGAGAAGTAGATACACATTAAGACTATGTGGTAGTAAATACATTTCGTGTTTAATTTACGCATAATTTTGTTTTATTTAGACGTTCCAAGTGCTCTTCCTCGTTGAAAGGTGAATAAGTAAGTCCTGCCTCCCAGTCCTGCATTTCTGGAGGGCGGCAGCAGTAAACACGCCTGCGCCCTACGCGGCACGCACGCGCACCACACAGCGAGAACGCTGCGGAATCGTACGCAATCGATCGTCATCGTTACGTCACGACGGCGACGTCACGGTGACGCGCGGAATCGTACGCAATCGATCGTCATCGTTACGTCACGACGGTGACGCGCATGCGCGGTAGTAAACAATGGAGCGTCACTCGGCTCTCGTCTGCTGCTCGCCTCGACGCGCGCGCGCGCATAGTAACGTAATCGTCGTCGTGTCGTCTGCGTACGCCTGCGTGCGTGCTTTCGTCGGCCGACCGGAGAGCGAAGCGTGCGTGCGTGTGTGCGTGCGCCCAGTCGACATAGAAGCGGTGTGACGTGCGACGCTCATTCGGCAATCTTAGTACGTTGTTAACTTGTTCTCTCGCGCGATAACGTTATCACTCCAGACGAGACGTACGCGTGAATATATATATATATATATATATATATATATATATATATATGCCTACATATACAAATACCTATATACGCGTAGATATGTATTTATTTATTTATCGATTTATTTAATACATTTATTCATTGATACGTGAATATATGATGTGCGTGCGCTCTTACGTGTGTTCTTAGAAGCGCATTTGCGTTGTTGCGTGATCAGTGAGTGCTTGCTGCTGCGACGTGTGTGACGGCGTGTATCGTGTATATATGCGTGTCAACCAGCGGGAGAGCAAGCTACATTCTACATTCTACAGACTACATTCATGACGGCGATGTGAGAGGCAGGAATTACAGCAGAAATTACACACATCTAAAGGAAATTACATCTCTCTCAAATCAGGAGGCATTACGTCTCTCTAAACCAGCGCTTATCGATATGCGCTTGTGACAATCTAGATGCGTGCGACCCCCTATATTCGTGATTTGCTCTTCCATCGTTGATCTATAGACTACAACACTGATATCGGTTATCGAAAACCAACCAATTTTTTACTAAAATCGAGGACCTAGTGAGCGTGATAGACAGTAGTAGTAGCGTGGTGTCCTACCGAGCAGTGGTAGTCAACGTGCGAGCATCGTGGGCCGGTGTGCGAGCGAAGCCGAGAGTGTGTGTGTGTGAATTGGCATTACGTGTATGTTGCTTACATCCAAGGCTGCAGTAAGATACTCCGGGGAGGCACAGCGTGTGGTGTGTGTGGTCAAGTGTTGAGGATCACACTTCCTCTCTGTCTGTCATGCGCCACGGGCTAGTCTCTCTCCCTTCTCCCTCTCTCCCCTCTCCCTCTCTCCCCTCTCTCACCTCTCCCTCCTATTCTCGTCTACGTCGCCGACTAGCCGACGTCCTAGTCGCCATGCATACATTAGGATATGAAAAGAAATTTGGCATGTAGTGCCACCCCATCGAAGTAGCGAGGTCGGTAGTTGCAATGCGCACTACCTGCCTGCCTGCCACACTCTGTTTTATCAATGAATATAATTAACATTCTGATAATATAGTATAAACGTGTAATTACTCCGAATTTAATAAATACTATCGTGTAATACATGCTAGATTTTTTGTACAATTATATAAACATTTCCTTACGAAGATCACTGTCCACTTTTGACTGTCACAATCATTTACCCAGAATAAATATGGCCAACATAAACTAGAAAGAAATGCGATAAATAAGCAATGTCTTCCGGTGATGTCAGACGTCCAGCTCCCGTTCAGCGGCAAGAGATTGAAGCCTTCTCCCAAACTGAATTAACACTTAATAAAGTGACTTGCTCTCTTGTTTTCTACCTGCCAGGAATTATGATGTCTTGACCAGTGTAAATGTTTACGCAGTACCTTGCATTGCGAGGCAACGGAATAAGCAGATTTTTTTTAATAACCACGGCTCCAAAATGTAAAAATTTCTTTGATTTGTTGAGGTATAAAAATAATTTGAAGCACATACAGCTTTGTATAACGAGGATGGAGAGTACCATTATATGCATAGACGCAAGCAAGCATTGCTCAAAGAAATGCGAACATGAAATTAATATTGATGTGGCATGTATTATATATATGTAAACAGTTGCCCCGTTGGTACAGTATATGATAGCAGGGCACGGGATATGGACCATGTTGCAAGTTGCCGTTATCCAAGTTATTGATATTTGGTAGGGAAGACGGGCTTCGCATTGTACCCCTGTTTGCGATACTCGTTGTTCTGGGAACAACTCACCTGGCGCTTCAATATAGTACGTCGAGTGAAGGGGAGGAGAGAATAACGATACACACAAAGTATAGAATGCGCGTGTACAGTGTACCACCGATAGGAAGAAGTGCAAGTATTCCCTCCAGGTCGTGCCTGCCGGTATATCTACCCACCCTTTAACCACCCACCAACCAGCCAGCTCCACCCACCCTCGCCCCACCCACCCACCAGTCGGCGTCAAGTTGGCCAATACTTATAATAACGGACCGTATTTAGTAAGGTAGGCAAAAAATTATTCATGCTGGATATGATATGATATGATATGAGAGAAGCGTGAATACCACTGGAGATAAGGATGGCAGACGAACTGAAACCATCCGAGGGTACATTGACGAAGAGCAACATGATATAGAATATAATATAATGTTCTCCACCGCACTACGCCACCTGGTGCCGTGTCTTGCGCAGCTTCCGCTAGTACACATTGCATCCTCGTGAACACAGGTACTTGGAACGTAAAATAATGGTAAATAAACACAAAATGTATTTACTACCAAAGTTTTAATGTTTCTCTACTCTATTTCGCCTATTATTGCCGATAACATGCTGTAAATGAGATTCAAATGCTCCTCCACGCCACACAAGTACACTGCTTGCACGTCGCCGTGCACAAAGTTAACAACAAGAATAACGAATAACAAATATAACTCTCTCGAGAAGAATAACATTTTGTAAAAATTAGGCATTTAAAATGGAGGAGGTATTCTAACATAGATCTAGATGATAACATTCCATCAGTAGACCTCAGTTATGAAATGGCAAGAAGACCTTGCATGTAACGTGCCCGCTGCATATAGGCCAGACTCTCTATTCTTGTTGTTTGTGCACAGCGGCGTGCGTGCGGTGTACCTGTGTGTTACAGAGGAGCATTTGAGCGGCACTTACAGGAAATTATCGGCAATAATAGGTGAAAGAGAGTAGATACACATTAAGACTTTGGTAGTAAATACATTTCGTGTTTATTTACCATAATTTTGTTTTATTGAGACGTTCCAAGTGGCTGTACTCGTGAAGGTGATAAGTAAGTTCTGCCTCCCAGTCCTGCATTTCTGGAGCGCAGCAGTAAACACGCTCGCCTACGCGCACGCACGCGCACACACACGACGACGTGCGGAATCGTACGCAATCGATCGTCATCGTTACGTCACGACGGCGACGTCACGGTGACGCGCGGAATCGTACGCAATCGATCGTCATCGTTACGTCACGACGGCGACGTCACGGTGACGCGCGGAATCGTACGCAATCGATCGTCATCGTTACGTCACG